ATCAGAGCACCCACTGGATAACAAGCCCTAGGCTGGGTGCTACATACAGGGAAAGCCTTGGACTTGCTTCCCTGTGGCTTGGCACATGCTCAGTGCTGCCATGCTGTGTGGCAGGACCCATCTGAGTGACCAGAGAGGTCCTGAGAAGCTTCCAAAGATTGAGCCCACCAGCCTGGCACTATGTGGTCACTTTAGTGGCAAGAATGATGTCATTTTGAGCCCAGAAAGGTCCCTCTGCCTGATGTCTGCTGAGGCCACCATGCCCAGGTGACAACACTCCAAACTCAGGGAGACAAAGCCTCCAGGCTCCCACCCCTTCTTAGTCAAAGCCAGCATATGGTTTAGCTGCTCACTGCCTCTGCCTCCTCACTGCCCCTGCTTCTGGCCCTGAACCCCAGGTCTGCTCTGTGACAATACCACAGCAACCTGGATGGATAATTAAGAGCCTAAGTCACACCAAGCACCTCCTACAGAACAGATGTGGCCTTCCAGTGGCTTCCCACTGGAGCAAAATGTGAGTCCTCACCTCAGCCCCAGACCCTTCACTATGTGGCCCTGGCCATTTCCCCCATCCTTTTGCCTACTGCTTTCCCTTAGCTCATTCTGCTCTGACTGCACTGTTCTTCATGCTGCTATCCAAACAAACCAAGCTTACTCTTGGTTCCCAGTGGCCTCAGGGCCTTAGCATATGATTTCTCCTCTTCCAGGAATGCTGCTCCCAAAAAACCATATAGTTCTCTCTCTTACTTCTTCTAGGTCTCTTAAAAACCACCTCCATAATGAGTCCATGTAGAATAGGCCCTTTTTCTTATCCTTTCTCCTTTACCGTCCTTCTCAGCAGCTTACACTACGCACTTGTCCATTTTCTCGGTTAGTAGCTGTCTCCTTTACCAGGATACAAATGCCAAGGGCATGACTGCCTCTTTTGTGGAGCTTGTACAGTGCCTGGAATAGAACCTGGCACAAAATAGGTGTTTAATAAACACATGTGGGATGGCCCTGCCGAGACGCAGATGGGATTATATTCTACATGCTTCTCCTCCCTGTCTGCATCAGCCAATGCCAGAGTTTAGCTTCCTCGAGTGCTGAACAACTTCCAAATGTCTTTGGTTTGGGGCTTTGAACTCTCCTCACCAGGATCTCCATGCTACTTGCTTCCTGACTCTCCACCCTGTTGCCCAGGGACACCAATTTGCAGCATTCTTTGTTCCAGTGGGTGGTGCCACCAACTGCACACTACATGGCCCTGACCCTGAGGCTCCTTCTGGAAGCCTCTTTCCCTGTCCCTCCATCCAATCATCACCAGGCTGTCCCCACAGCCATGACTCCTGCATGTCTCATGACTATGCCCCACCTATATTCCACAGAGTAGGACCTTAAAGGTGCACCTCTGACCACAGCACTCCTGTGCTGGAATCTGTGGGCTGCTTTCCTCTGCTCTCAAGAGAAAAATCAGAATCTTGAAGGCAGCTTCTGTAAGCAAGGGGGATATTTGACCAGGACTCCCTACTACAGTTGCACAGATGTTCATTGCTGAAACACCTCTGTTCCTGGTGGCCAGCAGCCTCAAGCTCTTAGGTACCACTCATACCTACTGCCCTGGCCATTCTGTCCTGTCCCCCCAAGATCCCTTCCCCTCAGTCAACAACTCCAGGGCCAACAGATGGGCAGCAGATGATGTTGGGGCTTCTGGGGCACACCCTCCCAGCTGCTGGGTGCTGCACTCTACTTTAGCTTTGCACCCCCTGGTCCCTCCTGCATGCTGTGTGCGACCCACTCTGGTCTTCCCTAAACTCTTGGTCTTCTCACCTGGGGGATGTTGCACAGGTTGGACTCATGGCTGAAATGTTCTTACTTTCTTCACCTCCTTCAATCCAGTTCTCCACTCTTGCTCACAGCAGCCTTCTCTGACCTCCAACTCCAGGTCAGGTCTCTTATGTGTTCTCAGAATATTGTAGGCCTTTCTTTTGTGGGACCTAATGAAGTTTTGGGGTTGCTTCTATTTGTGTGACTATTTGATCATCGGCTCTCACTGCCAGCAGACTACAGCTGATAGGGCTAAGGACTATTTCGCTCGTCCACCCCTATACCCCTGTACTCCTCATCCCTGTGAAGATGCACTGGAAGACACGAGATGTAGGAGCCGAACACTCAATGGTGCTCAAATAAGTAGAAGAACCAGGCATTCACATAAGCATCCTGATGTATGTATGTGTACATGTGACTTAGATATGAATCCCTTCCTTTCTATAAACAGAACGATGATGATGATGATGATAAAAGTTAATAGATAAGATGGATGCAATAAGAAAACAGCCCTGAATATTCAGACGTCTTTTGCAGAAGCCAAGATTTCCTCTTGCCACACTGCTTAGAGTACTCACTTTCTATGATGGAAAGCAGCATGCATTCTTCCCAGACACACTATCTTGGAAGTGTGTTCCTTATGTAAGAAACTGCTATGCTATCACAGTCCTTGGCTCCAAAGACTCGAGCCCAAAGCAAATTCCCAAGCCAGGACCCCTGGACAAGAACATGTTTTTAAGCTTCTCGAAACAATGAAGGCAAGTTTTACAGAGGAGAAAGCTCTGGTGCCATTACAAGGCCAGCCCTCTGGACATTATAAAGCAGTGGTATTGTGCCTCCAGGAGCATGGATGTGTCTCATTAAACATGAGTGGAGCTAGTCCAGCCCCTCCCCCTGGCCCCTTCTCTCCCCTCAGAAGCAGAAACCAAACCACCCTGTGCAACCACAGGGAGCTCAGATGACTCTGACCCAGTGCTTCCCAGAGTCCAGCTGTGGCTACCTGTGACAGAGCAGCCACAGATCCCAGGACACAGGCCAGCAGGCCATAGGCCTGGCTGCTGCCAAGGGCTTATGCTGTAGAGGGTTTTCCTTTATTGCCCTCTGCCATTCACTTCCTTACTTGCAGCTGAGCCTTTTTGGAAGAAAGATGCTGGACCAGGACTACAGTTACAGCATAAGGCAGGAGCCCCTCCTTCTCCAACACAGAGACTGCACCTCATCACGGCACTGAGCCCATAAGCAATGGTGTTGATAAAGTGCAAACGCTGCCTCCATGCTGGCTGCCCTCTGAGCCTGCAGTGAGCAGGGAGGTGCTCTAGGCCAAGAGGGCAGAGGAATGAGGCAGTTACCCCAAATGGAGGCCAGTCAGGATGGAGCCATTCCCCGGATGTCATCAAAATCTTCCAGTTTCACATGGAAAATGAGCCCTGGCTTAAGCCTCACGAATGCTCCATGTCCCAATTTCAGCTAAATGGATTCCTCTGGGAGTCGGAGCCTGAACCCTTGGAAGTTCTCCGTGGCTGAGTCTCTTCCTCCAGGAGCTGCACTGCAGATAAGTCCGGCAGTGCTGCTGGGCCAAAGCAGAGATAGAGCACCACAGATCTCTCAGCCCTGGGCCCCACTGGGAGACTCCAGAGACAGTGGCCCTCACATGGACGGCCCGGACCACGTGCATACAACTTGTGCAGCTGTGTTTGGGCATGTGGGGTCGAGAGGCCTGAGACCTTCGTCCGGGACCATCACCCTGTTCCCACACTTCCTGCTTTCACCTCCTCACCAAAGCAGAATTCATAGTCTCTGTCCCTCTGCCTTCTGAATGCCAGCTTTCAGCTCCCTATCAAATGCACAGTTAGACTCACAGTGTCCGAAGGTCTGCAGATGCATGGCTGCTGGAGTTTCTGGGTGGGGGAGGAACTTCCCAGAGGAGCAGGCCCTGTGGGCCTAGCCAGTTCTCACCCCTGAGCCCTGTTCCATGTGCACCGCCCTCTGGTTCCCTACCATGGGCTTTGCCTTGTGCCACGCACCTCATCACTGTCTTCTCTGCTCTCTAGTGGGGAATCTGTGCCACCACTGACTCCAGGTGGGAATTAGAGCTGTTCTGCTGGGCCATGGCAGGGGCGAGAGACAAGGGCATGCTGTTCATGGAAAACCTCGAGCACGTTCAGCAGGCATTTGTCCCTGCAGTTTGTGCAGACCACCAACTTCTAACCATGACACAGGCGAACCATGACGATAGGGGGTGACAGGAAAAGAGCCAGTCCCATAGGGACTTCTGTGTCTCATTCATGGAGACTGGGAGAGAAGGGTGGCTGGAGGAATGCTGGGGCTGTTTAATGGGGACAGAGCTTTAGTTCAGCAAGGTGAGGAACATTCTGGAGATGGGCAGTGGGACGGCTCCATGATGACAGGAATGTGTCAGCTCTACCAAACCACACACTTGCAAGTGGCTAAGATGGTAAATGCATTTCACCATGATGGAAATAATTTTTAAATGGTCAAGATGGTTTAAAAAGAGTGACAATTGATTCTAAATTAGAAACTGAGTTAGCTTGTATATCTGAACAATCCAACTGGCTGGCAAACAAAAAACCAAAATAAGTCACCAGTACAGAGCCCAGGCACATACCTTCTCTTTCCAGGGCCTGGTTTCTTGTCTACCCAGTTAGCTCCTAGGTCGTCAGCCCGAGCTTGACTCTGCGCTCTAATCCAGCCTGAGCGTACTCCATTTCCTCGCCAGCTCTCCCGAGAGCAAGTTCCTGCCTGAGCTCAGAGCCCTCACCAAAAGCCCTGCCAGCCACTGTGAACTGAGCCCTCCTCTGCACGTCTGACAGAGTCCCCAGTCCTCTGTTCTCTCCTCCACCTGGCTGAGAACCATAAAGGCTGCTGGCGCACAAAAGAGATTCACTGATCCCATGGTATGGCCTCTTCAAAGGCCACATCTTCTGAGAACTTCTAAAGGAAGAGGCTGTGGGGAACCCGAGTGTCATCCCCATACTGCCAGGAAGCAGCCCTTCTCTGCAGGGCCCTGGACCAGGCAGGGATGGAACACAAGACTGAGACCTTCACAGACAGGAGCCCCTGGGGAGTTCTGAGGCCTCGGGGAAAAGTGGATAGAGCCCATTTCAAAGCTCTCGGGAAATGGCACCAAACAAGAGTTGCTCTTCAAGAGAACGGCCTGTCTCCGTTCCACTTACCTGGTTACAGGTGTTAATATCTACCCCATTCCGCAGGTGATCCAAAGCTTTGTCCAAGTTACCTGATCGTGCTGCCCTCAGAAAGCTGGTAGCAGCATCGGCCTATGGAGAAAACAATAAGCCATGAGTGTCCCCTGCATAGTCCTGCTACTGGAGTGTCCCTGGGTGGGATGGAGGTGCCAGTTGGCTCCCCAGTTGGACTGTTCTGGGGCCCAGGCACTCAGGCCTCCCTTCCTTTGGGTATTTTATAAGCCTACAATCTGGCGACCTCTTCTTGGAACTTGGCCCTTGAGAGTGATCCCACTCCAAGGGCCAATGCTCAGCACAATCTGGGGGTTCACTACTTGGATATTTCAGGGGTTCCACATTCTTACTGGGGAATCTCTAATAGGTTGGTGGCCTCTGGCTCCAGGGATTCATGAACACAAGCATCAGAGGAAGCCAGAAGGTGCTCCTCTGTGCTGCTTGTTTGTGTAAATAAATAGCACCATGTTTATTATGTGCTAAGAATCACTATCAGAACTTTACAAGTAATACATATTTACACACATGCACCTTATCTTCCTGTCTTCCATGGCTGCTGCTCCACCACAGACCCCAGCAGAGCAAGACCCAGGTTTGCATTAAAGACGGATGACAACCAGGACCAGAGGGAGAGCTTGGGCAATAGCAGAAGCCTACAAATCAGCGAAGGCAGCAGAGAGGGCACAGGAGTGGAGGTCATGCCTCTGTGCACGCCAGCTGCCTGGGGGAGAGCCTTTCTCTACCCTCGTGAGACTTCAAGGAAATAGCATACTATACCCTTGTGAGCACAGTGCAAGGCACATAGCTGAGCTAACAGGGACCAGCCACAGAGGTAAGGGTGGGATGCCATGCCTCCAGATCCACCCCCTTCTGGTTTCCACTCCAATGAGGGCATGTTTGTCTTCTCCCCCATGCCATGACCTCAGAGAATGTGCTGCAGGGGCAGACAGTGCCCCCAAAGAAACACCCACACTCTAAGTTCTGCATCCCATGGTGACTGTGTCCTTGCTTGGGAAGAGAGTCCTTGCAGATGTGGTTAAGCTGTGGCTCTCAAGATGAGATCATCCCAGAGTCCCAAGGTTGGCCCTAAATCCACGGACCAGTGTCCTCAGACAAGAAAGAAGAGGAGACACACATGGAGAAGGAAGCAACATGAGGTAGGAACCAGAGACTGTAGCCACCAGTCTGGAGAGCCCATGGGCCCCACGAGACAGGTGGTGGAAGAGCGCTCTGAGCCTTTGATGGAAGGGAACCCCTGCTCACAACTTCACTTCAGATCCCACCTGGGTGAGGACACATTTCTGTTGTTTTAAACTACCAAATTTGTAGTCATTTGTCATAGCAGCCACAAGAAACTAATACACCACTGATGACGACCATCCCTAAACACAGAACACTAGAAATCTTCAGTCAAGAGCTACAAACAATATTCTACAATAAAGTTTTGATCACCCCTCCCCAAATGGGATAACATGTCTTTGATTAACAGTAACCTGCGGCAGGAAAGAATTGTCAGCATTAGCGTCCTCTGAAGCTGATTCCTGCAGTCCTCTCTGCATACTCTGGTCCCCACATGAGCCCCTCACGGCTTAAGTTCAAATCCAAACCCCGTGGCTACTCACTCACCACTCACGAACTCAGGTCTTCTTGCCCCCAGAATGGCAAGAGAGCTCTCCTTTCCCTCCTGACTTCCCCATTACTCCCTGGACCCTGAGGTCTTGTCTGCTTCACTCTTGTCTGCCAGTTCCAATCCTTCATTCAGGGCCCCCTGAAAGCCCCACCCCCTGCATGACACTGCCCTTGGCCACTCAGAATTTACCCCAGGAAAAACTATAGGACAGGAACTTGATTCATAAAAATTCATTTTAAACAAAAAATGCATATCATACAGCACTTGCATAAATTAAATAACTAATGTTCTTTAATTTATGCAAGGCTTAGCTCCTTGGCTAAATTATTTGCTTCTTGGAGCACAGACCAAATCTTCCATCTCCTTTGAATCCTTCAAAGCATTAAGTGTCTGCAAAGCCAAGGCCTCTTTTGATCTAAAACTCATGCCCCTCATGGCCCCAGACCCCTCAGTAGGGGCTGTGAGGTGGGGAAATATTACAGAAGTGAGGGCCAGTCTGTTGGTTTCCCCTGCAGGAGCTGGATCCTGAGAACCCAGACCTAAGGCCCATGGTTCAGATAAGCGTCAGTGCTTGCTGATTCAGAAGCTCTGTCTGCATTCAACTAGGAGGAAAACATAATATTTATTTCCCAAGAATGAGAGTGTTAAAGAGGCAGATCTCCCACCAATTAACTATCTTTTGTATCACAATAATAGGATTCAGAATAAAAACCTGAGAATAGGTGAATAAAAATAGACTCAATATCAATGAATGACACCATTTGACTATTCAAAGCACTGACTCTAGAAAGAAAAGCAGACTGTCAGTAATGGACAGAGAAACAGATAGACAGAGGCTGAGGGAAGACAGCCTAGACAAGAGCAAGGATGGTGAAGCAGGTTCTGTAGCTTCTATAAACATAAATCACAAAATTATAGCAACGGTCATCAGGCCAAGCATATTTACCAATGGTAAATCCTCCCCCCACACCAGCCCCACCTCTCTCTCCCCTCCTTTTTCTTTCTGTGATACTGGGGATTGAATTTAGGGCCTTCACATTACAGCTACACTCCCAGCCTTTTTTATATTGATTTGGAGTCAGGGTCTTGCTGAATTGCCAAGGCTGGGCTCAAACTTGCAATCCTTCTGCCTCAGCCTTCCAGATTGCTGGGATTACATTTTTTGTTTTTGTTTTTGTTTTGTGGTGCTAAGGATTAAACCCAAGGTCTTGTGCAGGTTGGGCAAGAACTCTATCACTGAGCTCATCCTCAGGCCTCAATAGTTTATCTCTTAATCCTTACCACAGCCAGTGAGGTGGATATAATTGTTATTCCCATTTTAGAGATGCTAAAATTGAGGTATAGAGAAGTTAATAATTTGCCCAAGTTCTGCAGCTACTTAACACTGAAGAACTTCACTCAGGTATGGCTGACTAAAGCCCATGCATGACCCCAAGATTCGTTCTCAGCCATTTCAAACCTAGCAGTACCCATGCTGACAGTCCTGACAGATGCAGGGCTGAACAGGGACGCAGTTAATCCACAGCAAAGTATTTTCTGGTGAGGCCAGCAGGTCTCAGCCTTGCTGCAAGCACGTGTGAAGGCCAGCACAGGTCTCTGGAAGGGATCACCTAGTTCTAGACCTTCCCTTCTCTGAGGATAACATCAAGGCCTTGAGATGTAAGGTGACTGGCTAGTGTCATCTAGGTCATTAGAGGTGAGTGCATTTGCTAAGTTTTGTCATTTTCTTTTTGGTCTCTGATACACACAGAGTACTGGAAACATAAGCAGGACCCTCAGGATATCTCAGAGGTGGATTTCAGACACTGATGTCACCCCACTAGCTACTGCATCACTCAGTTTCATTCTTCAATGTTTCCTATTTCAAGTCCAGTATCCTTCTAGGGTAAAGAGAGAGAATAAAAACCCAGAATGTAGGCCTCTGTCCTCAAAATTTGAAGAATAAAGTGGCTCAGTTATAAAGGGGTTACCCACACACAGCCATGTGCAGATACATTCCACAAGGACTCACTGAGTACCTCCATAGGGCAGGAAATATTCAAGCTGCAGGGACAATTGCCCCAGTGGGTAAAGAGACTCATCTTTATCATCTTGTTCTTCAGAGCTCTGCCAGCCACCCATCTAGTTCAACTGCTCCAGCTCAACTTCCTGTGTTCCGTGCACCCAGAAACATCCTATGTAATCCAACAAGGAAGGGAGTCAAAAGAATCCAGTATTTATCCATTAAAAATATTGTATTTATCTGAGGGCTGAGATTAGCTCAGTGGTAGTGTTTGCCTAGCATACATGAAGCCCTAAATTCTATCCCAAGTACTAGAAAAAAATTCCAAACTAGAAAAGCAATAACACCAAAATACTAACTAGTGGTGGCCAACCTATCAAATGCATGCCACAGAGGGCTGTTCATATCACTGAAAGCTCTGAAAGGTTCACCATCACTGATAGACTACCTCTGGGCAGTTTCTGGCCCTTTCCAAGACCCAGCCATCCCTGCCAGTCAGCTGCAGAAAGACCAGAATGCAGGACCCATATGTGAGCTTCCATTAGGTTTCTCTCCAGCTCATGTTACAGACCTCGGCCTGGCACCATGAAGGCACTTACCACTCTGTACACCCACCGAGGCCATGCTCCGATCTCTCTCCTTCTCTCATCTTATGCTTCATTTTATCTGATTTCACATGTGTGTCATCTGTGTGCATGTGTGTGTGTATGTTTGGGGTACACAGCCCATAGCCTACATATTTTTTATGGCCCACATCTCTATCACTCAATCTATGTGACAGCACTAAACTTTCTTTCAAAGCAAACTAGGTTTACTCCCAGAGCCCTGTGTTTTAAGCATTCTACATAAATGAACTCACTTGCTCCTCCCAAGAATCCCATGAAGCGACTACCTTTATTATCTTTTTTTGAAGTCACAGAGAAGTTAAGTTACTTGCCCAAAGTCACAAAGCTAAGTGACTTGGCCAGGATTTGAATCTAGGTAGTACATGCCTGGGTCCTTCTCCTAACCATGTGCTATCATTTTCACATGATAGCTGCTCATAAGATTCCTCTCAAGTTCAGCTCTGGCTAGAGGAAGCTGCTTCGGAGGCCACTCTCACTTCAGATAGAAAGGAGGGGAATGGATTTCCTCCTGGACTTGGTTACCAGGGCTGCTCCAAAAAAGAGGGTGAGCCCTGGTTACCTGAGACACCGGGCTATTATTAAACTCCCACTTCCTGTGTGGCAACACTAATAGAGCGGTGGATGAGCAGCCCAGGGTGCTCCAGTGTCCCAGGAGGGAGAAGACGGAAGCTCAATACTAAATGTCAGCATGCTGGCAATAGGAGAAGTTTCAGAACCCCCAGAGGCCAAGCAGAGCTTCACTTCAGACACAGGAAGAGAAGCTCAGGCCTGAGGTGGCCCAAGCTGTCCAAGCACAAATCATGATGTACTTTCTCAAGGT